ATATTGAAAATATTAAAGATATTGAAATTTTTCTTTTTTTTTTGTTAAATATGAAATTAAAATATTTTTGAAGTTTTGCATTTTTTTCGCGCGAACGAAAAATATTTCTAAGGCAAATGTTGCACAAAAAAAAACATCCAATAAATTTTATGGCTGATAATTTCAATTTTAAACCAATCATATTTAAGGAAAAGGGGGGTACAGGATAATAATCTATACCCGGGGTACAGGTTAAGGATCCCCTTTCCAATGTACTGTATTCCAAAAAGGAAAATTCATGTGCCAATCATTTAATTCTGGCCGGAATTAAGAATTTATTACTGCTGATTTCATAATGTACGGGACACTTGGCAAATTTCAAATTTTGCCGAGAGTTGTCAGGTTGTCGGATTTGTCGGTAGCTAATCAGCCAATCAATTACACTTTGGATCAAAAAAAGCTATCACGTGATATTAGATAATCATGTGTTCGTTATTTTTTTCAATTTGCCGAACAGGAGACAACCGGCAACTCTCGGCGTAAAAATTTGCAAGTGTCCTGTACATTATGAAATCAGCTGTAATTTGCTAATTATAGACTTGAGCCGGTTTATTTAACTTTAACCGTTCCTTGAATTACTGTAACAATGTATTTATTTTATTAAAGAATTAAATAAATCATAAAATTATTTTAAATAGTTTACAAAAGTATGTTTTATTAAAATTTATTATTACTATTAATATTAATATTATTATTATTATTTACTATTATTAATTTTATCTATTATTATTTGAGTATTGCGAATTTTGGAAATTTCGCGTAGTAAATTATAGTGATCCTTTTTTTCAAATATTAAATTTTGATTTTTTATTTTTTTATTAATATTTAATTTAATAACGTTAAAAAGAATGTTTTTTTTGTTATAAAAAACTTGAATTGGTTGATTAATTTGATCGTAATAAAAAGAGAAAGGAACTTTAATTCCAAAGTCTAGTTCGAAGTCAAGATAAGAAAGGCATTACTATCCAAAATCTGCACCTATTGCATACTCTACTTTTATGACACAACAAAAAAATACCCAAACCAGAATCAAAGTTCTAAAAAAATAAAAAGAATGAAAGACAGTCTTTGACGAATAGCCAGTACAAATCGAAATCTAAGAAAAAAGAAAAAAAATTCTATAAAGGCAAGTCCTGAACTGGTCAATTCAGGCAACCCGTCGGGTTGGCCAAAAATTCTGGGTCATCAGCAGCATTAATTAATTGAAAAAAAATATATAAAAAAGTTTATTTTCAATTAACGTCAAACCCGACACTTTTTAGCCAAAAAAATAAAAAAAAGTTTTTTTCAAACCCGGCGTTTTTCGCTGAAAAACTCAGAAAACCTTTTTTTTTTAATTAAAAACGTCGAACACGACGTTTTTTAGCTAAAAAAATGAAAAATAAATTTTTTTTTACTGTTATTAAAAACGTCGAACCGTTTGAGTCACTTTGAGTCGGTTTGAGTCGGTTTAGACTGAGCCGCTCCAAGTCGGTTTAATCACTCTATTGAGCTGGAGCCGATCCGATGAGCTGCTCCCATCCCTATTACACATGCCTGGTTACTATATAGTAGGCTCATATTTAATAGTAAATCACGATTCACGAACTGACATTTATGATTAAAAAATATTCATTCAAGAAAAATTCCATTTAATTAAAATGTTATACAATAATCTGGAAATCATTTACTCAGATTTAACTCGTGATAATAAAATTCGTTGTAGCATTAATTTTTTCGTATTTAAAAATTTTAAGTCATTAATAACGATATTATAGTGCTAAAAAATCGTCAAATTATGTCATGAACTTGGAAAGATTTAATAAGAAAACAATATATTGGAAATAATTATATTAGAAAGGTGTTGTACAGTCGGGTCCGAAAGTGATGCCCAATTTTGTACGGTGTTACGATACACAAAATTTACATTATTTATACCCCCTTTTTTTTATTTTTAAATGTTTTTCTCACAATTTCATAACCTAATAAACGCGTTGCAAAGTTAAAAAAATAATGTCACATAGAACTGAGTTAACTTCTCAAGATAAAGGAAAAATACTAGCATATATGGAGAATTTTAACCC